TGTCCAGCCATCCATCCATCCATCCATCCATTTTCGGAACCACTTTACCCTCACAAGGGTTGCGGGGCATGCTGGAGCCTATCCCAGCCGTCTACACCCTGAACCGGTTGCCAGCCAATCGCAGGGGCACACTGAGACGAACAACCATCCGCACTTACACTCACACCAAGGGACAATTTAGAGTGTAAAATCAGCCTGCCATGCATGTTTTAGGAACGTGGGAGAAAACCGGAGTACCCGGAGAAAACCCACACAGACAGACCAGAGCCAGGATCGAACCCACGACCTCTGCACTGTGATGTCGACGCGCTAACCACTGGACCACCGGGCCGCCCAGTTTGATGTCAACAGCGCTGTAGCGCCCTCAGAATGCGGCATGAGTGACGACACGAAGTCCACGATGAAAATACAGGGTTTTATTCCTTGCAACCCGTGAGAACTGGTCCCACGAACATGAAACATACAGAGATGAAAGTGGACTTTTCTGAAAATTCCGGAATAAATAAATAAATAAATAAAGGTGTGTGTGTGTGTGTGTGTGTGTGTGTGTGTGTGTGTGTGTGTATATATATATATATATATATATATCACACACAAAGTTTAAGACCTGGGGTGTACAGCAAATTGTCCCAAGGGGTCACATGAGAAACTGTAAGGCCACATCAAAATACTGAACTCAGTTGTGTTTATTATTAATGTACAGGAAACATACTGTGCTATGGCTTTCTTGTTTATCTGAATATGCAGCCTGAGTTTAATACGCCTCTTAAGCTGCTGTCAAAGCTGCTGTCATGCACTTTTAAATTGCCCCTTGGGACTTTTTAATTGAATTCAAATTTTTCATCTGTGTAAGTGGAGTACAGAACACAGATGCAGTCGACTGTGACAAATGTTTTTATGATATTAAAATACATGAGTCGAAGAAAGACTTGCTAAATAAATTAATGTATTAGGAATTAAAAAAAAGTTTATACTAACCCTTTCATGCACCCTGTATAACCTGATAACATATTAAACTGTCCACTGTAGTAACCATTGTCCCTAAAAGGGTTAAACTATGATGGAAATATTGGTATCATATTTCTAATATTAATTGTCTTCATCTATCTGTAAAACTACTGTATTCTCGATTATTTATTTTTACATTAAATAAAACAAATCATTGATCGAACCTTAAGTCCGAAATAAAGATACGACACAGATCTCAACTTTGGTGGCTCATTCAAGTCCTATTGAGCAGACCCACCAATTCTCACGTCCCCTGGCTCCTCAACCCACCTCAAACTGCTGTTTTTTTTCTTGACCTTCTTCCTCTTGGCCATGCTGTCAGGAAGTGGCACGCTATCATTTTCATCCAAAGGGTCTTCCTTTTCACACTCATTGATGTCATCCTCGCTGACGTTATTATCTGAGGAGAAACATGGAAATAAGAACAGAAATAGAATGCTATTTTCACATGAAACACTGGACAAAAACAACACATTCAAATCACAAATATTCAGCTGGAGGACAATTTTTTTGGCTGACAACAGTCGGGCTACTTGTGATGGTCAAATGTAGGGTTCCAAAAAAATATATAGATAAGATTTGCAAGCTTTTAATCATAATTTTGCCGCTACAGAGCATTAAGTATTATTGACCGCTGAATTAGTCCATTTGAATGAGGCCAATGGTGGATGACAGGGTCTCTGATGCGATCATTTACATGCTGTTACTTAAAAATCATTTAAGTAGATTTCATTAAAACCATGACACATATTTTAAAATATTCAAATAGAGTGTTACCATATTGGTTTTGCAAAACAATTAATGAAAATGTAACTGTGAAGTGACTGTGAAGATTCATGACAAGATTGTATTGATGTGGAAGAATGATTTTGTGGGCACACAACAATGCAGTAGAACATCAAATTATGAGTGTCCCTTTTTAGAAACAATTTGAGTTAGGCACCAAATTTTCAAAGAAAAATGACTATTTATTTGGGCTGTAAGAAGATCCAAATGTCATGATACGATAATTATAACCATATTGTGGGAAGTTGGTCAGATAGGAATACAATACAATACATCCTGATTTATATAGCACTTTCACAACAATATTGTTATCGTTTTGTTTTCAAGATACCTGACTAAATAAAATAGAGATGTTTCTCCACATCGTTTGGACAAAGATATTGTAGTTATAAACTCCTGTTTGGAAAGTGTTAGAGCAGCATTTAATTTAATGAGACATAGTTTGGAGAGTAGAGAACATCATCTCACGCTGTGCCAATGTACGGTCATACTACAGTCCTTGGAATACAAATGTCGTGTTACAGTTCAACTTCTACATTAACTGGCTCCTGATTCCATCCAGCTGCGGTAATATCAATCCAGTAACGTTGTGTTTCCTAATACAGTCAAACCTCGGTTTTCGACCATAATCCGTTCCAGAAGGCTGTTCGCAAACCGAATTGTTCGAAAACCGAAACCACTCTTTTTAATAAAAACATCTTTATTGAACACATCTGTTCACAATGGAACGCTACACGAGGAAGCGTCACTTCCTAGTGTAGGGAAGGCGAGAGGAGTGAAATGGTGCATTCAAGTGCGCTCAGTTCGTTGGAGAACCGAAATTCAGTCATCATCCGAGGCATAAAAAAACTCGAAATTTTTGGTCGAAAACCGAATTGGTCGAGAACCTAGACGTTCGAAAACCGAGGTTTGACTGTAATAACCTTACCTCAACTTTGTTTTTATATATACATATGCAATACTATAGAACTATTCTTAATTCTAATCACAAACAAATTTTTGCATGATTGATTTGATCTTTTTTGATTATTAACCCCTGCTCATCCTTACCCGAACCACAACCTTGATGAAGCTTAACCCCACTGTCTTCGGGCACCAGGGCACATATAAACAAATAATCATTCGCGCTCACATTCAACTCAAAATTGTCCTTAGGTGTGAGATCTAGGGACAATTTAGAGTTGACAATTTAAAGTGTTCCATTTACCTGCAAGGCATGTTTTTGCAATGTGGGAGGAAACCAGAGTACAGTAGTCGGAGAAAACCCACACAGGTACAGGGAGAACATGCCAAATCCTCACAGGATGGCCAGAGCTCGTACCCTGCACCTCGGCATTGTTAGGCCTGTGTGCTAAGGGGCCCTAATCATCCATCCATCCATCCATTTTCTGATCCGCTTTATCCTCACAAGGGTCGCGGGGCATGCTGGAACCTATCCCAGCTGTCATCGGGCATTAGGCAGGGGACACCCTGAATCGGTTGCCAGCCAATTGCAGGGCACACAGAGACGAACAACCATCCGTGCTCACACTCACACCTTAGGACAATTTTGAGTGTTCAATCAGCCTGTCATGCACATTTTTGGAATGTGGGAGGAAACTGGTGTACCCGGAGAAAACCCATGCAGGCAAGGGGTGAACATGCCAATTCCTCACAGGAAGGCCGGAGCTCGTACCCTGCACCTCGGCACTGTGAGGGCTGTCTGCTAAGGGGCCCTAATCATTTTAGCAATTATTTTTTGTTTCACAAGCTCCATTGAAATCGCTGAACTGCATAACTGTTCAATTTTTCAATCTACACGTGAAACAAAATGGCTCGTGTACAACTCCCGACTGGCTGCAAGAAATTATAGACATAGTTGAGAATAATGCAAATAATAATAATTAAAAGGTACAGAAAGGTATCTGAACCCGTTACGCGATGGAATTAAGAGTCACCTTGGTGCCAGCTGCTCTCCCCACTACCCCACGATCTGGCACACTTCGACCTGCGCAGAATTTGTACTTGCACAAGCAATCGTGATTCACGACAAAACAGCTACAGCTTTGGGTTGACCACAAAACATGACTGTCAATAAGGATAATAGTTTCGTAAATTAGGAGTTAAACAGAGATCGTATCAACTGAGTTGCAGTAAATCTACTACATGGCTACAGACCTGTTAATCCAATCAAGCATGCAGGCGGAAGATGTCTGGAGTGTTAAACTAAATGTCTAGGACTCTTTGTGTCATCAAGACAGAATTTCAGAACATTCAGAATTTAATTAATTTGCCGTCCTAATTTTAGGGAGGATACCTGGAAACACAACACGATACATGAGCATAGAGATGTCAATTTCGTCGCGGTCACAAAAGTGCAAAAGCTTTTCAGTTACATGAACAGATGAATGCTTGCGATCTGTGATGGCCACCTGTTAATGATGTACAGTTTAACAAAGACCAAAGTGTACTCATAAATGCTCAAATACACAGACGCCATGTTTACATCGTGGTTGCAGGCTGCGCTGTTCTCACCTGATGGAACGTAATCTGCATCCTCACTGGACAAATACCCATCAGAGTCACTGTCAGTATAGTTCATCGCAGGAGATGATTTGAAAGGCGATGCGAGCGTTAAAATAACGTCTCTGAATACTATAATAATAACAATAATTACAAACAATAAACGCAGAACGTTTCGCCTTTCATTCGCTACACCACAACGAAGGAAATGTGAAATATTCTCCTCCAGCGGATGCACTACATTCTTCTTCTTCTTCTTCTTCTTCTTCTTCTTCTTCTTCTTCTTCTTCTTCTTCTTCTTCTTCTTCTTCTTCTTCTTCTTCTTCTTCTTTTATGGAGTGTTTCAATTAACGGTAATGCACACTACTGCCACCAACCATAATGGATGCAAACTTTATTATTGTTCTTTTACTGTATTAATTGAAGGAACAAATACAATACAATACAATATAATACATCTTTATTTATACAGCGCTTTAACAACAGCTGCAGATCTAACAAATCACTTTTTTTTATAAAATATTAAACAAACAATAACAAAATCATCTAACACAACACATAAAATAAAAATAAAACACGATACGCGTGTGTGCGTGTGTACACACACACACACACACACGCACACGCAATATATATATATATATATATATATATATATGGCAGTGTAATGACTATCATCCTTTTTTTTGTTTGTTTGTTTAACAGAACGCAGAAAATTATGCAAATCACAGAAATACCCATACTGTAACAGATTCCCATGTAATTATTATCTTAGCATTTTATTTGAAAGAAATAGAGAAGCACGTTTTGGACAAAAGCACCCTCCCAAAGATTGTAATTTGTCCCTGAAGTCATCTGTTAAGATTGGATTTCCATGTATCTGGATTGCTTCCAAAATGTTTGCTTTCCATTGCAGTTTTTTTGTCTTGGGCAAGACGTGTTTGGGACAATGGAAGGATTTAACCTCCTTCATAACTGTAATCCCATTAATTGACTGTAGAGGGCAGGAATTCGACGTCAATATCCACCCATCCATAAAACGTACGGTTGAACTGCATTTATCCACATTTAGTTTCAACCCAAAAGCCTTTGAGAAAGCACCCAATGTTTTCAAGTGCTAAGGGAATTTGATTCTCATCTTTTAAAAAACGTTTGTGTCATCTACCAACTGACTTATCACTATTTTCCTCTTCAACATACCCAACTTCCAAATACCGGGGTGCCCAAATCCAGTCCTCGAAAATATCTATCTAGCCGTCCCCCAAAACACCTGATTCAAGAGAACAGCTCATCAGCAAGCTTTGCAGAAGCCCGATAACGATGATGATTGTTTCAACCACTTGTGCTGGGAGAGAGAGGCACGCAAAACAGCTGGATAGGGGATCTTGAGGACCAGACTTGGGCACCCGTGCCCTGGGCATGGGTGCCCACATTTCAGCAACCATAATGAACAGAAGTGGTGAAGTGCCACCATCTTGACATTAGTGCTGGGCAATATGGAACAATTAAAACAAAAAAAGCAATGTGGACTATTTTACTCATCATGCCTTGATGGCTTTAAAAAAAGTTTAATGATTACGGGTTTGTTGTTGTTAGTTTATTCTTTCCCAAAGCAGTAGTATTATTTGTATTCCCTTCTCTCGTTATTTCTTAATTTTCATTAACTCTTATTGAAAGCATTTCCATGACCAACCAGGTGGTAGATCCACCCACTAGAGCAGGGGTGGCCAACCCGAGGCTCGCGCTCGCATCCGCTCTTTGGCTGGTTCCCGGGCTTTCACACGACAAGCGTCGAAAACGCCTCGGCAGTGGCGATGCCATTCAAACAAGGCGCTAAATACACAGAACGTACTACGTCAGCCTATCATCAATCCCGTTACTTGATTGACATAGAGGACAACTAATAAGATGACTGCATCACCGCTCATGCGCAAACAACGGCGCTCAGCGCTAACCGCTAAGCTAGTCAGCGAATTACTTCTGATTTTAAGGCAGTGGTGCCCAATACGTTGATCAGAATCGGCCGGGAGCCAGCGAACTGGTCCCAAGTCGACCGCAAGGGGTGGGAGGTGGAAATGGGAGGGGAAAAAAAAGATTTGTTTGTTTGTATCTTTAGCTTTCGTTCATTTTCGCCCGTTCCGACTGTTGCTCATCGTGGTGTGCGTGCATATATGCTCGAGTGCACTGGTGGGCACTCGCGCTCGTGAGTGCGTGCGTGCGAGAGCGTGTGTGCGTGCGTGCGTGTGTGTGTGTGCATGCTTACACGTGCGCGATCGGGTCGTTCGTGGGAAGTTGGTCGCTTCAAAAGTCGATCTTTGGCCAAAAAAATGTGTGTGTGTGTGTGCGTGAGCGTGTGTGTTCACGCGCGCGAGGAAGGGTATGATGTGGCTCTTTGCAGTAACACAGTAAAAAAAATTGGCTCTTCGTCTCTGACTGGTTGGCCACCCCTGCACTAGAGGGTGCAGCGAGATTGGATTTTCACAACTGTCCCATTCCACGCCGGTAAAAAAATCCCGTCCAAACCCAGTCCTAGACCACAGTAGAAAATAACTCCAATCCCACCCTGCTCCGATTTTGGAGGTCAGCAACATTTCATAAATAAATACATTTTTAAAAATACGAAAGTTACATTTTACTTATTCATTGAAGCTTGTCGCCGCCTTTCTCCTCATGCACTCTCGCTATTTCGTGCAACATGACGTGTAGTGATGTGTCGTTCGCGAACGAGCCGACTCTTAGAGCCGGCTCTTTGAAGTGAACGACATGAGGCGGCCACTAA